AGACAGGAAATATACCCCAGGAGTGCATCATAGACAGTAAATACACCCCAGGAGTGCATCATAGACAGTAAATATACCCCAGGAGTGTGTGCAGTATATTAGGTTTATATACACCAGGTGTGCAGTGTGTGCAGTATATTAGGTTTATATACACCAGGTGTGCAGTGTGTGCAGTATATTAGGTTTATATAAACCAGGTGTGCAGTGTGTGCCGTATATTAGATTTCTATAAACCAGGTGTGCAGTTTTTAACAAGGGAGAAAGCACTGGAGGATTGTCTCACAGACAGAGCAAATAGGGAATAGGGAAACAGGGAATCTGAAATCCCAACAGCCGGCGTGTGTTTGCAGGTCTATGTGTGTGTAAGTGCAACGGTATGTCTAGAAGGGGGAGTGTGCGAAAATGTGTTTGTGAAGATGTGTGTGTGTGGAGGGGTGTGTACCCCTGGTTTAAAGGCAGTCAGAGGAGGAGAGAAGCCCAGCAGAGACAGACATACAGTACACCCAGAGAGCTGAACTCAGGTAAGACTGTTTACTCACACCTGTGCCTTTACACAAGACCAGATGGCAGCACAGGAGAAAGTGATTCGTCCGGATTCTGTCTGTCTGGGGTGGACATGGAGCTCTTGATCCTGACTGGTGTGATGGGAGACTGTGAGGGGAGATCAGAGTCATTGCAGTAATGGTATGAGTAGTAACTGCTGTAGCACTTTACTGTAGACAGACGCATTCACTCTTGGACGATTTTGCTCACAGATTCACTGCTGCAGGTTGGTTTAGTGTCAGTTATCTCACTGCTATGTGCTCTGTGCTTCATGCCTTGAACTCTGAGCTCTGTGCTTCATGGCGCATGCTCCAAGATGTGTGTCCCATGCTGTGTACTCTGTGCTTCAAGCCTAGTGCTCTGTCTTGTTGTGTCTCGTCCTGTATTCAGCTTCTGTACTCCAGGTGTGCAGTGTAATAGTTTTATATACAGGTGCCTCACACCCTGTGCTCTGAGCTGTGTGTTATCCTGTGTGCTCTGAGCTGTGTGTTATCCTGTGTATCCTCTCTGCTTCTTGCACTGTGCACTGAGTTTTGTCCTCTGAGCTCTGTCTAGCTCTGAGCACTGTCTTGGCCCGTGTG